GTTCCATTCTTTCCTCCCATACCATACAGGGGAACCATTAGTCCTTGCTGAAGGGCCATGGCACCCTGTAGCTCAGAGGTAACCTCAGAATCTTCAAGATGGAAGTCCAAAGACAGTGTAATTTCTATGCCTTGCTTCACAGAAGATGGAGGGATCGTCAGGAAAGGAAAAGAGTAGTGTTGGCTGGTGCCATCGGGGAGGACTTCATGGAGAATGTGTGGGACCTTGGAAGATTGGCGAGACGATGAGAAGGGCACATAGTTCTGAACGGGGTGGCAGCATAGACGGAGGCAGGGATGATCCCAGCCTGTGTGTGCTGGGGAGGAAGGCATGGTGGGGGCAGCTGGGGGAGGCAGGGGGAAGAGGATCCACTGCATGCTACATTTGTATGGCTAAGGGGGGACCAGATTACAAAGACCTTCAAGGGCTGACTGCTTCAGGTCTTCACGGTGTTTCTGGCTACTACGCTTATGATGGACAATCAGCTTTTTTAATTGGGACCAAAAAAAAAAAAAAAAAAAAAAAGGAAGGAAGAAATTCAGCATCTTGGGCACAGAGTAACTTATTAAGAGTGACATTTAAAAAAAAAAAAAGAGTGACATTTTAAGAAAGGTTGAATACAGCAAAAAATAGACTCTTCAGTACAGAGAACAACTGTAAAGTCAATAACAACAACTGTAAATAAGAGTAGACTTATCCAGAAAACATAAAGAGTGACCATGTTTTCAGTGTGGAGCTAAACTTCCAGGAGATGCCATTTCGGCGACCTTATGATCATCCTTCTCTTCAGAGGCAGGCCTCACATCCCGTAAACATGGTTGTCTGGAGGGACAGGTGGATCCCATTAGAACTCTCTCTGAACTCAAGGTTGGGCCTGTCCTGGTTAACCAGCCAGCTCACTTGGGCTTTTTGATTAGTTTTTATTCTTTTATGTATCCTGACAGGGAAATCTAAGGGGAGAAAGGAGGTCTGTTTTCAAAGCTCTTTCCTTCTAGATCAACACAATGAAGGTTGGCATGCTCAAGGCCTCCTCCTGCAGTGAACCTACGGCTAAGACCATGCCTCATGACTCGTCAGAATTACTTAGCCCCTGTTTGCTTCCTTTTTTTTTATTAATGGCATATTTGTAGAGTTGTCTACGATGACTAAAGGCCACAACAAAACATATTCCATGTGATTTTAATAAACACATCTCGAGAAAAAGCCTCTTTGGCTGAAAGTACTCAGCATTATGAGATGAAATTACTGTATACATTCCATCATATTGGCCTCAGGTTTTTTTTTTTTTTAAAACGAGCTTAGCCCCTGATCTTTCATTGGCTAATTACAAGTGCTGAGCATGATGCAAATAAGCAGATCCCACAAGGGCAATTATGGAAAATAATAGTAATAATCACGACGATCAGCTGATGTGATAGATGCCGTCTGGTCCGTGTATGTGGAAGAGATTCTGGTTCTCTCACAACCTCAGGGCCTGCGCATTGCCTGCCGTGCAGATGAACTTCTAGGACGCTCTACGGATCTACGGTTTAGGGGCAGACACTTCTCTGCTTTGTGTGCTACTTGTGGGGTTGGGGGGGTTGCGGGGTTGGGGGTGGGGTGGGGAGGGAGGACATTAGTTATTGGACTTGGCACCTATTTTGTGAACGTGGCACATATTTGTGGCCAGCATGCTCTTCTTTAGCACGCGCGCGCACACACACACGGACTTCATTGTTGGCGGTCTCTAAAATTTTCACAAGGCCTATATTCCACAGCTGTAAATATGTTAATATGATTCCACTCCTGCATAAACCAGGTGGATCAGTCCATTCTTTGGTGATCCACTGAACCAGTTCTTTATTGGTTCCTTCATATGCAGCTGTAATAATGACCCAGGGCCACGTATCAACGATAGAAGATATCTCTTCATCTTGTTAACTTTGGCCTCATTCTAAGGGCTTCCATGTCCTTGTGGATGACCCCTCCAGCATCCTTGGCCTCCTCAACTCTGAGGACATTTACCTCTGCTCCTCTTAAGCTGCTGCTTCTTATGGCCACCTCTTGGATCTTCTTATGACTTCCCAATCTTCCATCTCAAAAAATCTGAGAAATGCCATTCTCTGCTGTATTAGCCACCATTCAGGTTCTTCACTCACTTACTCACACTTTGCCTTCTTCTCTGCATTGATTATGTCCCCTGGTTCCTGGAGGTCACCCAAGAATATCTTTCCCATACTGTTTTCACTTCAAGCTTATCTGGCCCAGATTGCGCATCCTGGCCAGCATCTTCCACTTCCTAGTGACCTGGTGGGACTGTGGCTCTAGCCTTCTCTCTTCCCATAAGCCTGAAGACTGGTGCCACTATTTTAGGGATGTCCTGCAGTGTCTGCTGTACTCGTTACTCTCCTTGGCATTCCTGTACCACTTCTTCCTTCCCTCTTGATGCTCACCCCACCCTCGGTTCATTTTCCTCGCCTGGCACCCTAGGCTTTTCATGGTCTGGGCCCTGCCTGCCTATCAAAACTCAGTTATATCATTTCTTTCCCATCCGCAGAACACCGTGCACCAGACCTGAGGTGCCCGAGTAACTCTGTGTCAGAGAGGAGCACTGCTACACATCCCCGTTTCCATGCAAAAGTGGTTTCCAAAGTGAACCCTGACCGGCTCCACCCTTGGCTCACTCTGCCTTTGGGAGTCCCTGACTGGGAAAATGGGAAAGAACAAGCAGGCCAGCCCGGTTTTGCTTCTTTCTTTCCTGTCCTGGGAGCGAGCCAGACATTTCCTGTGCTGTGCCAAGCTCTGGGTCTTTTCTGGGCAGGCTTCTGATTGAGAAACTGCTGCTCACACGTCTGCCTGGTCCCAGAGTCCTCAAGCTCTTTTTTCCCTTGTTCCAGGTACTGTTCCTCAATTTAATGATTCCCATGTAAAAGGTGATCTTTTTGCCTCCATAATTACTCTTTGGGACTTTGCTCAAATTATCTCAAATGTAGATGGAGAACAGTTCTCCTTAGATACCCCCAAAACCTGTTTGTGGTTCCCATAAATAATTAGCATCTCTCGCTTCCAGGCTCTTACCCTAACATTTATTGTTCATGTACCATTGCCCAGATCGACAGTATGCACATTATCTGTGTTCTTTTACAGAATCCTGGCAGAAATCCCAGGAACTAACTCTACTTAACAGATGAAGAAACGGAGTCTCTGGGAGGTAATGTAACCTGTCCAACATGCCCACTTGGTGGCAGGCAGATGTGAGACTCAGGTACGACTCCTCCCTTGGCCTGGGAGACTCCTCCTCCCCCTGCAGGGCTCAGCTCCAATGTCATCTCCTTCACAGAACCTTCAGTGACCTCCCCGAGGTCTGTGCCTCCCTCGAGCTTGCCACACACTCTACTTCAGCCGTATTTCATGGATTGCCATTTTTAAAAGACCGTCTCGTCTCTAGTTAGCCAGGTAGGGAATACAGCTTTTCATAGGCCCTCAGGACTCAGCCCAGTGTCAGGAAGGAACTTAGCCCAATGCCTGTGATAAATATTAGTTAAAAGAACTAAAAGGGGCGCCTGGGTGGCTCAGTCGGTTAAGTGTCTGCCTTCAGCTCAGCTCATGATCTCAGGGCCCTGGGATCGAGTCCTGCGTCAGGCTCCCTGCTCAGTGGGGAATCTGCTTCTCACTCTCCTCCCTGCTTGTGCTCTCTGTTGCTATCTCTGTCTCTCTCTCAAATAAATAAATAAAATCTAAAAAAAAAAAAATAGAGAACTAAAGATGAATACAAGACAAAGGGAGGAGGAGGGGATGGAGAAACTCACGTCAAGTTAAATCTTGAGGTTCTCTTTCCTTCTCCCAGCACTTTAGGCCTGTGGACTTCAGAAAGGGAGATGATTTTATACCATTGAAGTGCTACAGTAATACTACAATCTAGACATTCATTATTCACCCCTCCATTCTTTCACTTGCTTATCCAACAAATTTATTAAACACTGCTAATACACAAGTCAGTGTCAAGGATGTGAAGGATCTATTTTCAGAAACTCACAAAGAATAAGCAGAGTTTAAGACCAATGATTAAACAATCAGAGGTGGAAATTACCTAATGGGGGGGTGGCACAGGTGCAGTTGCAAGGAGGGTACGGGCTTGTTTCTTCTAGTCTACAGGCTCCAAGTTGTTAAAAAGTACTTGTCCGAGTTTGCCCAGCTAGCAATATTATAGTAGCCTCACCTGTTTTTGGATCCTATGTGTGACACCCCAGAGAACCTGTGGCCTCTTACAACTTACGGTCTTCACATTGTATGGACGGGTTCTCTGAGAGGGTAGAAAGACAAATCACTCCTTGCATGTGGTCTCAAAGTTTCATGACCACAGTCAGAATTGCTGGCATCCTAGGAAGAATCTGAAAAAAAGACCCGTTCTCTGCAAGTGCCAGAAACATCTGTAGAATATTTACATCTGTAGAACTGAAATTCTTTTACTGTGGATCGGTCTACTTCAGTAAGCTATTCTTAAAGATCCCCATCTCAAACCTCATAAGCTTTGAAAGCATCTGGTGTAATTTAATTCCCTTTTAATTCCATTTTCTGAGCCGTCAATCCTTCATGGAGGACAAATTACCATTTTGTTCACCGTGACCCTCCAATGGATTTGCTGTCTTTTCTGCTGTCTTATAGAGTCCAGGCCCAAGAGCCTGACTTCTCCAAACTTTATCCTGAGGGAGTCTGAAAATTCTTAATAACTAGTAACATAAAGTGTTTACAGATACACACCCCTCCAAAAAATGTCCCTGTGAGATGGAGTGGAAAAGGCAAAATCAAGAGGGGAATCGTATTGCTTGGCCTTCTCAGGTGTGATAAACACAGAGGAAGCCAACTTTCTCGGTGGGGAAGCATTTTCTTTCTCAGTGAAATTTCACTTCCGTCCAAGAAAGAGCAGGTCCTCAAAAATGAGGATCAGAGCCAAGAAGCCTGTCCTTTAGTTCTCCTGAATTAAAGAATATAAGAACGAGAATATAACGAAGACCACTCACCATTAATGAGGAGATGGACTCATGGTCAGATTCTGACTAAGAGTCTCAACAATGGAAAGTTCATGTGACTTTTCTCGAATCATGAGCAGGTGAAGACGCTCCTTTTCAACTTGGATGATGAACCTGGATGGGTGCCTTTTCAGGCCTTTCTTAGAGCTGAATTCCATGGCTACCTGTCACTTCTCCATGACAAGGTGCCTGGAGTTAACAAGGGTAGACCTCCTGGTGGTCATGAAGCAGCCGTGAGGTGGAGCAGTGCACCTGGGCTGGGATGATGTGCAGGAAGGGCTTCCCCACGTCCAGTCCTGGGAACTCTGCAGCAGGAGCGGTCATCTACTCCCAAAGTCAGCATGGAAGCTGCGCTTCCAGTCCAAAGTTTAGATTATCACAGAATAATGAATCCTTGAACCTACTGTCCTTTGCCAATTATGAGGCCGTGGGGTTGTTATCACCATAGACCTTTCCTGGAGTCCTCCATTACTGAGTGGCTTAACTCATCCTGAATTGGAAATGTTGACTTCAACTGCAACTGAGGGGCCAAAGTACAGGTAAGGCAGCAGGAAATCATCCCTCGCCCCTGGGAGATGAGAATGTCTGAGAAGAGATCTGCATTTTGCATTCAAATCCCTTCAGCTCAGTTTACTCGGCATTTATGGAGAGTTCAGAGCCAGGAGCAGTGTTATTAACTGGTCTTGGTAACAGAGGCCCTAGGTTTCCAAGTTCCCTGTTTGTACCGTCTTAATTTGAGGCTTTGTCAATATCAATGCAGGCCATCAGCTCAGGGTGGCCAGGCTGGTTCTTCTGGTTCAGGCTGTCCCCCTGAAGTGGTGTGGTCCTTTGGCAAGGGGAGAGGTCACCCTTCCAGTCCAATCTCACTTTCTCTGAGTTGCCCCAGGAAGTGGACTGGAAGTACAGCTTTAACATGTCCTGCCGCAGGCATATTCACACCCCCATGTTAGGTGACTCTCACTAAAGTGTCTCCCCAGGGTGGCCAGCCCTTGTAGGTGATTTGGCTGCAACTGGATCAACACTGTTCATGTTCCATCTGCTCATTAAACTCACAGCTGTGACTACAGTGAATGCAGCAGCAAGCTAGGTGTACTGCGAGATGCTCATTCTTCAACATCATGTAGCTGCAAAGTTTTGGCAGAGGGACAACAATGGTGCTAGGATGTCCCTTCCTCATCTCTGCCCCTCGGGCTTGCTGCATACACCAACTCTGAACTTGAAGTTGGAATAAGATCTATGATTCTCCTGCTCTACCTTCAACCCATTTCAAGGTAGCATCTTCTCCAGGACGAAGGAACCAGGAACCACATGCCAGGGGTCACTGACAGGTCAGTCCCAAGTGTCAGTCTTCTCAAAGTCAAATTCTCTAAACCATTATTTCTCCCTGTAACCCACCCCTTCTCACACAATTCTCCCTGTTCTATAGAATCCGTATACCACCTACCCTCTTTATCCCTGCTTGACTGGCTGTCTTCTATCAGTACCATATTCCTCCCCTGGAAATGATCACATGAGATTTCATAGAAAAGCAAAAGTGGATCCTCATTAGGAAGCCTTGGGATTTTGCTGGTCAATGGAACGAGGGACAGAATGAGAAGTAAAAATCAGGGTCTGCCAATGTACGCGTCAAAAGTGATGGAAATGAAATTAACTTCTGCAGTGATCCCAGGATAAATCCAAATGTAAAGAGTGAACTCTGCTGTCTGTGATCTTGATACAACCATTAGGGAGTTTGTCCGCTCCTGAGAGAAACAGATGCCAAGATATGATGAAACAGGCAAGGACTTTATTAGGGATAATACCTATGTGGGCGATAATGGGACTGGAGCTAAATAAAGATTGGAAGAGCACCTGAAAAAACGTAATAATGTCTTTGTTGAATAAGTGTGTGATGGACAAAGTTCAGTTTGGAAAGGGAAAGAGAAGAGAAACATTTGGGCACAAAATGAAGTGAATTAGCAGAATTGCTATTGGGTCAGAGGTAAGGTAAGCGGGCATCCACCATGTGGCTGTTCCAGGTAATTACTCCTGACGCCTTATCTGACTGGTCTAGTCTATTATTGGTTGATGCCTGTAACTGTACTGATTCTTAATGTTTTCAAAACAACCCCCAGTTACATGGGCTATCATACTGCCTGGAATATTTGCCAATGATTTCACAAATTAAAAATTTATTTCTGATGGCCTTCTCGCTGTAACATAGGCCTCTCACACATATTAACAATTCTTATAGATAGTGGTGCAGAAACAAAGGGAACTGTTGTTGTTCTATGAATTTGTTGGAGGATAGTTTATTAAGCTGATGGCACAGCCAATCAAAGTTGCCAATGAGCTGCTGGTTTTTGTTCTATTCTTCCTAGAAAAGAATGCACATTACTCTTTTCCCATTGCCCCACTAACAATATACCAGCAACTAAAGCTGGCATACTCCTTATTTGTTCTTTTATCCTAAACACAGTATCCCCTCCTTAAATAGGAAAGGGTTGAAGAAAAAATGAACTGAGACCGTGAAATGTGACCTGTTATTAAAATTTTTATACTCACAAATGCTAAAGTAATGAAGATGTTTGGGGGAAAACTGGTGAAGTTTCTAAACTTAAAAGCCTGGTAGACAAGAAGCAGAGCTAGCAGAGCCCATGCCAATGTGGGAATGTGGAGGCAGGAAGAAGCAAGAGAAAGTGACCCAGGAACGCATAGCTATTAAGGTGAGGACTGAATTCTCACAGGCAGTTGTACTGGAGTTCAGGACAAGTTTAACTAGATCTCCAAAGAATATCTGATATCTGGAAAACACTTAGATTAGATGGATTTGTTTGTTTTTTATAACTAAAAGTAAGTTATGAATACAGTCCAAAGTCTGAGACAGAGTAACTTGTCTTTCATATAATGAACTAGAAAGTAAATTCTCAGATTAAAAATGTGTGCTCATGTCTGGGATGGGTTGGACTTCTTGTGTGGGGATGGCAAGTTGTCATCCCTTCCAAGAAAAGAGTGATGCAAGGACAGGAAACTAGAAAAGATGATGCTATGAACGTATCGAATTCCAGGGGAAGTGACATGCTATCTCATGTGCATTTAAACTCCTCTTCCAGGGGACACCTGGGTGGCTCAGTTGGTTAGGTATCTGACTCTTGGTTTTGGCTCAGATCATGATCTCGAGGTTGTGAGATCAAGCCCCATTTGAGGCTCCATGCTCAGTGGGGTGTCTGCTTGAGATTCTCATTCTCCATCTCCCTCTGCCCCTCCTCCCCATTCTTGCCCTAAAAAAATAAATACATAAATCTTTAAAATAAAAATAAAGTCCCTTTCACATTAATGAGGTGGCTGATTTTCCAACAGGGCACAAACTCTGAGTTCTAGTCATTGCTTCTGTTCTCCTGTGTGGTAATGGCCCCACCCCTCCCACTGAAACACACACTCTTACTAGCACTGAGTACTACACTATCCTTGTGGTCACCTTCGGAATGGCCCCTTTAGGAAGTTGTTTTTGATGACCTGCTATGACCATGACACCTGTTTCCTGCCCAGACTGCCACAGTGGCCCAAAGCCACACACAGCCCTCTTCCTTCTTCCGTGCCCAGGGCCTACAGGAAAGAATGGCTAAAATTCCCTGTCTCTTCTTGTGTCGGGCAAAGACAGAAATGAGATTAGGCTAGAGACCAGAAAATGCAAGAAATTCAGACTGGGGATATCCTGCCTCCAAGAATGGTCAAACTTTTAAAAATTAGGAAAAAGAAAAAGTGGGGAAAAAAAGTCAAATCAATAATAACCAAATTAGAAGAAAGAGAGTTAAGCATGTCCACCATCGTGCTAAATGAAGAACATGGCATTTCCTTTCCATTTCTTCAAAACCGTGCATACTCAGCCAAGTTACCAGTGATGTCCCTATCGCCTGATCCATGATGATGCTCAGTCCTAATCTACTACTTTCCCTTTACCCTACCTACTCCAGCCACACTGGCTTCCTTGCTTTCCCTTTTATACACCAAACATACTCTATCTTACAACTTGGTATTGGCTATTCTTTCTGCCTGGAATACTCTTCCTCAGGTGTTCCCCTGGCTGGCTACTTCCCTCCTTGAATTTTTCCTCAAATGTCACCCTTTCAATGGGACCTACTGGGACCACTCTATTTACAGTTGCAAACCTCCCCCTTCTGCTCCCGATCCTACATACTCTGCTCTACTTTCATTTTATTCCATGGCATTTGGTACTTCCAAAATGCTTTCTTATTATTGCTTATTTATTATGCATATTGTTTATTTTCTGTCTGTTCTTATAGATTTTCTTGAGGGCAGGCATCCTGGTTTTATACATCAATGTCTAGAACAGAGTGTAGGCCATGGTAAGGTGCTCAATAAGTATTTGCTGAAGAAGCACATAGCAGAGGCTTTCATACACAAAATTCAACTAAATGGGATTAATGTATGAGAATAAGGGCAGGGAAAGAGAAGAATGCAAATATGAAAAGGTCAGAAATAGGATATTAACATCAGCAAAAATGGAGTTAAAATTAAAATCATTAAATAAGGCAAGAAAAAGACACTCCACCATGATAAAAGACACTTTTTATAAAGAGGATATAATAGTCCTAAGCCAGTTTGCATTAAACATCAAAGTATGCATCAAATATCAGACATCTAACTATATGAAACAAACACAATTAGAAATAGAATAACAACTTGATTTTTTAAAAAGTACAATTCCGGTGGGTAACTTCAGGCTGTCACTAGAATGACTTTGGAGTTGTGACCACAAAAGCCGGCCAAAAGAGATATGCAAAATTAATGAGAGGTAATTTAATGATCTATTAGGAGTCGATGAAAAAATATTAAAATAATTGAGAATTGAACCAAATAACAAAAAAAAAAAAGGGGGGGGGGCGTTGACTGTAAACAAATGCTAAACTACTTAACCCTCTTCACAGCCCCGGTTGATTTGCATTACTCATCAGAGAATTAAGGGAGGATCCAGGAAACCTAGATTATAAAATCACTGCAGAACTGGGAGTTCCCATTAACCTAGGGAAGGGGAAGCTGACAAGAGTTAAGGGCCATGCCTAGAACTGAATTAGTATAACTTCTCCCATATTCTAGTGGCAGAAGGAGTCACAAGGGCCACCCAAATTTAAAGGGATAGAAAAATAGTGTCTCTTGATGGAAAGGAGCAAGTTCACACAGAGAGCAATGGGATAGGAATCATGGTATGGAAGCCATTCTGGAAAATACAATCTACTGTAATAGATAGTTGGCATGCTTAAGAAGAAAATTTAATATACTATCTTTATATCACATAATTTATAGTGCAGTTGAAAATTTTAAGGAAATTTAATAAATTAAGTTATAAAAGTATCATAAAAAGGAATTGCATTTTTTGGCCAGATTTATAGATTTAATAATAATATCTGTCAATTAATCTTAAAATCTCAGTAAATGGATTTCTCTTCAAATGTAAAAATCTGGGGACGCCTGAGTGGCTCAGCAGTTGAGCGTCTGCCTTTGGCTCAGGGCATATTGGTCCCGGGGTCAAGTCCCACATTGGGCTCCTTGAGAGGAGCCCGCTTCTCCCTCTGCCTGTGTCTGCCTCGCTCTGTGTGTCTCTCATTAGTAAATAAATAAAATCTTAAAAAAAAAAAAAAAG